AGAGAGAGAGAGAGAGAGAGAGAGAGAGAGAGAGAGAGAGAGAGAGAGAGAGAGAGAGAGAGAGAGAGAGAGACACGAGGCATATGTTGAGCCGCTGCTCTCAATGTATCTGCTCTTTATTTTATCTTTCTTCTTCTTGTTCTTCTTCTTTACCCTTTTTCTTCTTTGCATTTTCCACCTCTTATTGTCATCTGCCTCCTCTTCCATCAGGTGTGTATGCTGCTGCTTGCGGGCCTGCACACCCAAGAAACGCACCCGCCGGGCCGCCGCCCTGAAAACCCGCCCCCCCCAGCCCAACCCGGGCCACCCCAACCCCAACCCGGGCCACCCCAACCCCAACCCCAACCCCAACCCCAACCCCCCCTCCCTCCACCAGAAACATTCTGACTTTACAAGTTTTAATGTGGAATCCGACAGATCTCAGCGAGCGCAGTCGGATGCCGGCATCAGAAAAAGGAAAAACAAACATTTGGGCACTTTTGGGGGGCATCCGGTTTTGGCGGTTAGCCCCCCTGGACCGGTCCGGCCCCGGTTGAACCGCGGCAGGTGATCTGGCCAGTTCTCGGCCAAGCCTTGAGTGGGACAGTGGTTGTGTCCCAAGACCGGTTGGCGCCCTTTGGGAATCCAAGTCCTTTCTGTAAGACTTTGTCAATATGCCGCCGCGGCTGATTTTGAGCACGGCAGTGTTCGCAATATCACGAGCACACTCTGCGAGTCTTCGTGGAATGCTCAACTTACTAGCAGCTACTAGTAGAATGCCCCCTTGAAGCTAAGTCTAGCTCTTTACCTTTAACGCGGTACAGTCATCATGCATCGGGCCTGGGACGGCAGCGAACCCAGAAGGCCCTAAATATGATAAAATTCCATCGAAGGCTCGCGAGACTTGGAAGGCAGCATCATCAACTTAGGCTCATGTGAACTGGTGGTTTAACTGTCTGCATTCAAAGAACTGATCAACAGGTACTAGACTGCCCTCGATGAACAGGTTGAATTAGAAGAATGCCCTCTATAAACAGCTAGAATCCCCTTTATGAACAGCTAGAATGCTCAACTTCAGTATGGTACCCTGAGTACCTGCATTCCATAAAGAGCTAGAATGTTAAAGTTAAGACTTAAAGACTGTTAAGTAGCTGCTCTTCAAGTTATTGATAGCAGCTAGAGTGCACACAAGGTGGCACGCTGCATGAAGAGATGGAACGCTCATGAGGGGGCTGCCACAGCCCGCCAGAGCATAGCTAGAATGCTCCTCAAGGAATGCTGAAACATCTCATTGTGAAATGAAAGAAGAGGAGTAGCGGCACTCACCTCACAGCTTGGATTATTATAGGTCAAACGCAGGCAGCTGATGTTTTTTCTGTTTTTTGCATCGGACTGAATCCTCTACTCATTAAGGAAGTTCAATTTTTTTGGGGTCCTTACTCATTTTGGCAGGTCGTTGGAAGCGATGTGAGGAATGTGAATCATGACCAAGTATGCCCAAGTACTTTCATCGTTCGGCTCTGTGGGGGCCGTTTCTCTCCACTAACGTGCATGGCACTGCATGCATGTGCATGTGCAAGTCCATGTATGTGTATCTGTGAGTCTGGAGAGAGACTAAGAAAGGGAGACAGAAAAAGAGGCAGAGAGAGAGAGAGAGAGAGAGAGAGAGAGAGAGAGAGAGAGAGAGAGAGAGAGAGAGAGAGAGAGAGAGAGAGAGAGAGAGAGAGA